GCACTGAGTTGCCGCCATGTGATTGGCTGATTAGAAATTAAGTGTTAACGAGCAGTTGGACAGGTGTACCTAATAAAGTGGCCGGTGAGTGTACAATCAGAGACAAAACAAAAACCAAAAAATGTACCAAAAAGGAAACAGGATGAGAAAACCAAGAACAAAACAACCAGCATGGCTGCAAACGATTATACAGTCATATTTATTATCACCAGCTGAAAGGTGGGCAATCATCTAATTATGACTCTGTGTGTGTTTGTGTGAGCAACAGAACATTTTCATAGATATATTAAATAAATATAAATATTTGTTTTTCAGTTTCACAGACAGATAACTGTCTTCAAAWCCTCTCATTATAAGGCACATCTTTGAACTTTCAGGGATTCTTATCATCCTGTAACTTTAGCTCGGGGTCTGTGTGTGTTTCCAGATGCCGCTAGAAGCAAGTCTAAAATATGCCTGTCCTGAGAAAACGTAAGTATGAACAAAGTGTTTTGTCATTAAAATGAGAGAAATTGACTTTTTATGTGGAAATGCAACATGAATGCTCAGAGCAGAAGGATTTGCTAAAATTCGAGAATTTATTCTTTAAGTTAAGCCRAGCAAAGCTGGAGAGAAACTCAGCAAAACACTTACTGACAGGACTGTGACCAGAGACAAACCCAGCACAYGTTAACATGTTACATGTATGAAGTGTAGATCTGAGCTGCAGCCATGCAGACCAGTACCATTAGCTCTTAAATGAGCCGAAGGCTGTCTCCAGGGTCATCTTGTTTATTGATACAGACTTATAAGTCTGGGTCTTTATTTCATGGTCTGGCTAATTATCAGTATATATTTATCTATGTATTTTAATCTTATTTTATATTCTTAACTTTAGAATATGTGGTGTTGTTATTGTACCCTGTCACCAAGGTGGGGGACATCGAAATGCTCTCTGTCTGTCTGTCCCTCCACCTGTGACGGGGGTCATCAGCGACGATTGACTAGGTGCTGATAACTTGTCAATGAAGCTATGGCACATGATGGACAGACTTTAGGTATTTATTTAAACATATTAGAATTCAATTCCTCTGAACTTCAACAATGAAAGCCTGACTGTTAGCCCTGGTTGTAGACGTAGCCCACATATCAAAATGTGTCTGGCCCAGTTCTGGCCCACACAACTCACTAACACTCTTAACACTTTGGCCCAGATACCAAAGAATGATGGCCCTTTGGTGGTCCAGATGTGGTTTGCCAGAGATGGTACATGTATGGGCCAAAGCCACAAAAAGCAAACCACAACCAGGCCAGTTATGGCTTGTTAAAAACAGGTACAGCTCTGGCCCACACATGTCCAGKTTGGGAGAACTTCATCAACTGTTGTTATAAGATGATCCTAAAACTCTGGCATGAAATGTGGCAGGTGATATGCRGCTCTTAAAGGAGTGCTAGGACTTATTTTTTATGTTTTATGTATGAAATGTTTTATGTTAATTTTATTTTTTTCCCATTCCATCTCAGTTAACCAGGTCCTGGTTGTGCTGCTACTGCTGCTGCTGTATTTGATTCTTCACAGTTTACTGCTGGGAACCTCCAGTCGACCCAAACCAGGTACGTCTGTCCAATTTTAATGTAGCTCTGCTGATTGGACTTTCTATTTTATCAACAGCCTCTGCTCACAGCATTTACAATATCTGTGTTTAACAATGTGCCAGGTCAAGCTTCTTCTCGGAAAGTTTTACTTTTCAAAATGGCTCTAAACTCTCTCAACTTCCTGCCTCTGACCCATTTCAGACCGCAGGAAGGTCCTCGGTGATCCAGCACAAACCTCCTCTACTGGAGAGTCAGAGGATGATGATGTCATCCCTGTTGTTACCTGTGCATCAGTGGAGCGGGTCGGAGCTACCATGGCAACAATCAACAGCATCGTTAGCAATACAGATGCTAAAGTTTTCTTCTACGTTGTGACTCTTCGTGATGCTGTCAAACTTACCAGGTTTGTCACTTGTTTCTACAGTGGACCACAGCAGCTTTTACAGGTGAAGTTCTAAAGTGAGGTTTGGAAAACCAACTGTGGGTAACCATAGGTCCTGAAATAATCTCTAAAAATTAAAAATAAATAAAATAAGACCCCTGATCCTAGTGTACAGAGTTGGTCCTGAACAAGCTGGAAGGCATGCAGGGCRCTGTGAATCAAAAGCAGCCAGGCAGGTGGGGCTCGCCTTGTTGTACGCAACCTGCCTGGGAGGAGCAAAAATCTGATTTAAAACCATTTACAACTCTTCAACTTGGCAAGTTGGCAAGTACTTTTAAACTGAGCGGAATAGGAACTGGCCCCCAGAACCCAGCAAAAGGTGGTTCTCTTAGGTCTTCCAAACATCTCAAGTCCCTTAAGATTATAACAACTTTCCAGCTTAACAAAATGCAACTGAATGTTTGAAGTTAATACATTTTTATGAGCCTTATACATAACCTGCAAAATATTGTAATCAACCAACTCATAAAGTTTTAATATTGTCAATTCATGAAGTAATACATTTGATGGGTGGCAGTAATGTTTTCTGGTGATAATCCTTATGGCTCTTTTCTGTAAAATGAAAAAGGGATTAGAAATTGTTTTACATGCTTTCCCTCAGACTTCTATACAATAAATCAAATGTGGAACAATTATTGAATTTTATAATTTAAGCAATGCTTTATCATTAAATAACTCTTTTACTTTATGCAAAACTGCAATAGATTTAGCCATTTTTTGATCTTAAGTAATTTATACGAGCTCTCCATGTCAGTATTTTATCTAAGACATCCAAAAACTTCTTTAACTGTACGAATCTCAATATTTTCAAACTAGTGCATCAGGAAACATCTTAAAGGGATCCATGATTAGTTGTAACATTAGACTTTGTTTAATAAACATTTTTTAACTGTAAAATAAAGACTGTAAAAATACTGTAGGATGTTCAGTTTTTATTATTTTTACACTAATAATTAAAAAATATATTACACAGACGGGGCCATTTTATTTACATGCAAATCATTCTGGGTAAATGATGACGTGGATAGGTCCTCGCTGCGAGGCTGCTAGCGAGCTATATCCACCCTGAAGGTTAATCTTGGACAATATCTGACGATTGGCTAAGCGCTAAGCTAACAGGCTAAGCTGAAGTTCTTCTTCCATGAAGCAGCTCTGTTGTCCTCCATCTATATTTTCAGTTACAGGCTGAGTCATTTCTACCTTCTCCTCTCTGTCAACGCTCTCTGGTTTCATTTAAAAGAGTCGATCATCAGATATTACCCAAGATTAACCTTTAGAGTCATTGTTGCCAGATGGGAAATCATATCAGCAGCTCAAAATTATCGTATTTTGAGGAAAATTATCGTACACACCCAAGTTACATCCTAGAGAGGCTCAAATTTACAAATACATCCTGCTCAGCTCACAGGTGCTCTGTATTCAACAAACTGCACTTTCTTTTGTTTATAATAAAGTTAAAAAGCTCTGTTGGGTGTCTTTTTTTTTTTTACAAAAGCTTTGTTGTAAACAAGAACAAAACATGGAGTCTGGGGAAATGCTGCATATAAATGAAATATTAGATAAAATGACTACAATAAAATGTAAATTATAGGCAAAGTTTAAATGAAATCAGGAAAAGAACAAATCATTGTAGTTTATTGTACTTTTGATTAGTCAAGAAATAAAATGAGTGCATACTGAGCTAATTTAATCTGAAAGCCTCCAAAATCTGTTTTCTTCTTTAAAAATAGGGTGACACCTGGATGTTTATTAAATGTAAATGTTGCTTATACCCCTCACCTTCTCAGTCCCACCTTTTCTTTTTGATTTTACAGTTATTATTTCTTTCACATAAGTACTATTATATTTATCTTTGCTGCTACTAGTTACCATCATTACCCCAACGTGGGAGGGGGTGTCCTCCCCCAGAAAACTTTGAATGAAGTAGGTGCTGTTTCCTGCATTCTGCTGTATTTGCAGGTTGTTAAACATATTTTAAACTAAACAAATAAACACTTTCATAAATATTTTAGAGACGGATTCTACATTCAACTCAATATATGAATCATCCTTTTTGTGTCACATTGGACGTTTGATTCTTTGACCAGCTGGTAGGAAGTAGGGTATTAATATGGTTAAAAAAACACTGGTGACTGCATTGTGGCACCCAGCCTTCTCTTTAGAGACAGTAGTTTGTCAAGAGAACAAAAAATAAAGCTTCCGCTGTTGCTCCTTTTTTTTAAAATATATATAGATTAACATATGTTTTTATTCTACTGTCACAGCGCTAACCCTCCTTTCTATTGGCTAGGGACCGGCAAAGGGATCTATTTTAACCATAGAAATGTTTTTATTAACATCCCATCATGGATCAGTCGCAGCAGCAGTATTCATTTCATGTCTGGATGGATGGAGATCTACCTGCAGCAGGGAGAGACGCAGCGTGAAGAAGCCTCCTGTCGRTGCTCTGGGACCGGGGAGGAGGAGCTCTCAGCAGCACAGTGGAGAAATGTGTTCACGGCAGAGTCTCTATAAGTTTCAATAACACCAGAAAAAGAGTTGCTAGATTTTCACTAGTTGCTTTTCTGAATAACAGTATCTAGGAGGGTCTGAAAACTCTGTAAATATAGCGAGGAAGTCACTAAATCAGCACCGCTGTGTTCCACAACCCGCCGCCTCTCATGTCAGCGAGCAGCGTGTCGGGTCGATTACGTCACACATTGGAGCGGTCAAATTATCGTAAATTATGGGATTTTTGGAATTATTGATCGTACATCGTACAGAGGKCAAAATTATGGTACAAATACGATAATTATCGTACACCTGGCAACACTATTCAGGGTGGATATAGCTCGCTCACACTGAGGACCTATCAACATCATAATTTACCCAGAATGCTTTGTGTGTAAATAAAATGGCCTCGTCCGTGTTAAAATATATTTATAATGTTTAGAGGCTCCTGCAATAAATGATGACTTAAAAGTTATCAACATCATTGACTTAAATGAATAATTTCTTATCCATTCATACCTGATTTGTTTTTGTCCAGGAGGTACATAGAGAAAAGTAAACTTAAAGGAATCCAGTATAAGATGTTGGAATTTAACCCGATGGTTCTACAAGGAAAAGTGAAAGCAGAAACTTCTCGACCTGAACTCTTACATCCAGTGAGTTCTGGATTTGTTCCCTGCATGTGCAGCTCTTCTCTGCAGTCTGCGGACTTATTGTTTCACAAAGGTGGAATAACTTTGGGTGCTTGTTTTGCAGCTCAACTTTGTGCGATTTTACCTTCCTCTGCTGGGCATCAGCCATGAGAGGGTTGTATACTTAGAYGACGACGTCATCATCCAAAGTATGTATTTGAACAAGATAGCTGAGAGGTTTTCACTTCACTGTGTTTTATTTCATCATTAAATGATTTAGTGTTTTGTAGATGAAACTCATCCTGTTTGGTTGTAAGGTCAGAACCCACATGCTAGCTACAAAACAAGGATGTTTGCCCCATTAAATTGTAGATAATTCTCTGATTTTTCAAATTTCTGGTAGAAATGGTGGTAGCAGGTCAGTACCCATTGCTTCTGCTTGGGTATGATTTAGGGAATGAATTGATATGACTCCTGAAAAACAAAGAGCATCTGCCAGGTATCCGATCAGCGGTGTAGAGAGGAGGATTGTTTCTGTAAACAGAACCCTAAAATGAGCCCACTCGTTTCAGAAAAGAAGATATTCAGTAAAAGTTGTGACAGAAACATCTTTAGTTGGTGAAAAATAGAAACCAAACAACCTATAATATATATGTAAATAATACACTGCAATCAGAAGTTTCTATCCACATCATGAGTGAGAATGTTGGATACCTTCAAGTCTTTCATGACTGAACYGAGTCAACACATTTTCAGTCAAGTTGTGGTTGGAAGTTTGGAAAAGGTCGTTCTATCTATAGCTTTGTTTTATCCTGATTTATTCAATCAGAAACAAGTCCTGATGTGTTTGGGGTCRTTGTCTTKTTGGACCCAACTYTGTCCAGGTTTCCACCAGCTGCTGGTTTTAGATAAAGAAAGAATTATTAGAGTTCTCCTTTAATTTATCCACTTTTTGAAACTCATCAGTACCACAGCATGGTTGTACCACCACCTTGCCTGACAGTCCAGTGTCTTTTGGTCTTTAGCTTCAACTTGCGTCCTCCAAACATCCTTCTTTTGAWTGTGACCAAATGGTTCAATCTTTGTCTCGTATGAACAAACTTTTGTCCATGAGACATTTGTCTGTTTCATGTGGACAGCTGCAAGTTTCAGTTCAGGTTTTAACTTTCTCACACAACCTTCTATCCTTAATTAATACTGTAATTCATTTAGCAAACAATSACATTTGGAACACTGATTTTTCTTCTTATTGTAGTTTTTCTGATATTTTACGAGGACAGTGGCGACACAGGGAAGTGTAGACTAATTTCGTGTTTTATTCTTTTCAGGTGACATTAAGGATTTGTATAACATTAAACTAAAATCAGGACATGCTGCTGCTTTTGCCACTGACTGTGACCTSCCTCCAAGTCACGAGATGGTTCGAAGCATCGGCATGCAGGTGARTTTATATTGATTTTATTGGACAATGTAAACAGATCAACTTTAGGTAAACTTCATTTTGGYAACTAAATATAACTGAGCTCATTCTTTAGACAACCTACATGGGCTTTCTGGACTATAGAAAACAAGAAGTCAAAGACTTGGACATCAACCCCAGTGACTGCTCTTTCAACCCCGGAGTGTTTGTMGCAGATCTCAAAGAGTGGAAGAAACAAAAGATCACCAAACAGTTGGAGCAATGGATGGAGGAGAATGTCAGGTAGAGTCAGTGAGATAACTGGGAAAATCTTTACAAAGGTTTTACAAAGGTTTTTCCAGTGGACTGTTTCTGAAATGTCCTGCACCAGAACAGTACAAACAGTGATGAATGGAAGAATATAAGAACAGTGATGGTCCTCCAATATTTTATAGAGGAATCACTTCAGATCCGTGTTGACATACAGTATATGAGCCTGTGCTACAGTTAAGGCTACAGGCAGTGGTGGGCAGCACTAATCTAAAAATTAGTTCCATGTTGATCAATAACATTTATATACCTCAGTTAGTGCTTCTAAATTTAGCCTATAAATTTAGCAAGTGCTAATCCACAAACAAATTTTAAAATCTGCAAAAGCCCTAAAGCACTAATCAGAAAATTAGTTCCCCTATTAGTGCTTTAGTGGAATGGTGCCCACCACGGGCTACCAGCTAACAAACAGGAAGGACTTCTGCTGGTTTTAGAGGTCATGTGACCAATTGGTCAACATTAAGTTATACAAATGGTCTGTAATTGCATAGTGCCTTTCTACCCAACCAGGTTACTCAAAGTGCTTCATACTGCAATCTGTGCCCTCATTTACCCATTCACACAGCACTCTATTAGGTCTCTACAAAGCTAACACACACACACACACACACACACACACACACACACACACACACACACACACACACACA